ATTGAAAATCTGTGGAACGAAATTGACCGCCGTCTTCAACGTGAAATTCGGCCGGCAAATAAAGATCAACTGTTCCAGATTGTCAATCGGATTTGGGAGGGAATATTCATGACCACACGGGCATAAAATAAGGAAACTTAGAAGGGCATATATAGTTGTAGGTGAATCATTTTTATTTTTTCCTTCTAGCTACTTTTTTCATTAAGGTGATTTATTTTGTGTCACAGAGATTGCAATTTACTTATATACATTTTTAAAATAAAAAATTGAATACATTCCCACACATGTGCCTGCCTTTGACAGCATGATGATTTATCCTAACATTTTTCAGGCTTTTAAAAAAAATTGTCAAAAAGTATTAAAAGAAACATTGACAGCAATGCATCCCAAATTGTTTTACATAAAGTCATTTAAAACACTCCAGTTGATATAACCTTCAATAATTCTATAAAGAATTATATTTAAGCTTAGTTGAAAAATTAATCCTGACAAAATCAGTTATAAAATTTTGCTGTTTATGAAAACAACCCGCTTGATTTTAATTTCATTGCTTTGTCATAGGTTGAGCGCCTAAAACTCATAGATGCAGTGCAGAAGGCCAAGTTCATATCCCTGATTTCTGACGGCACAACAGATGCATCCATCACCCAAGCAGAAATTCTTTATATTCGATACAGCGATGATGGCACACCACACACTCAGCTGGTTGGTTTGCATAGAGTTGTGAAAGCAGATGCAGAGTCAATCACAGAGAGCATCACCAAAGGGTTGCAGAACACGCTTCAAATCTATAACGCCTCTCTCAAGAAAACGCTGGTGGGGTTTGGTTCTGATGGGGCATCCGTAATGATTGGGCGAAACAATGGGGTTGCTGCTAAGATGAAGAGGTACAGCCCAGTCCTCCAAGCCGTTCACTGCACTGCTCATCGACTTGAGCTGGCATTTAAGGATGCCTTGAAGACGGTAACATTGTATACAACACTCAGCAACAACCTCCTTGGGCTGTACCTGTTCTACAGAAACAGCTCAAAGAACAGAAGTGGACTGAAGATGGCTGCCGAGGCCCAGCAACAAGAAGTTGCAATTCCTACAAGAGTTTGTGGCACCAGATGGCTGCCCCATCTTCAGAGAGCACTTCAACAGATGCTGTGGGACTATAAGGCCTTGATAACACACCTTCAGCAGGTTAGAAATGTAACTTCATAACTCATATCAAACAATTTAACAAACACATAGTTTGCTCATGATTGAATGACCCTGTTTAATATTTCTATTTATTGATCTAATTCTTTCTCTGAAGGTGGAGGTAGAGCCTGGTATGTCTGTTGATGCTAAAGGAAAGGCAAAACAGTTCCTAAAGAGCCTACATTGACATGACCTGATGAAGTTTGCCCATTTCATGTTGGATGTGGTCACGGTTTTGTCCAAAGTATCTCTGTCGGCTCAGTAGTCAAGCAACACAGTGGCAGAGGTTGCTGCCTCTATTGATGCAGCTGTTGCAACACTGGCAAAGTACAAAACACGGTAAGCATTCATTCAAAGTCTGGGATTTGGAAATAATATTGCAGTACAAACTTCTGACTTGTTAAAAAATGAAGCAATTTTTGTTCAATTTCTTTTATTTTGTCTTAATTGGGTATTTAGGAACATGACACCTACATGTAAGTTGCAGGACTTTGGAGAACAAGGCATCTTTCAAGGTGAGGAGCTGGGTGGAGCTGGTAACATCAGTACAGCAATAGGCACTGTACTCACAGAGATTGAAACCAGCCTGGAGGGAAGGTTCTCTGATATGAATTCTGGTGTCTTGTCTGCGATGAGAATCGCCAGTTTCAAGTATTGGCCCAACGAGCAGGACTCGTCACAAGGTTAGAACAACCCCATGTGCAATTGTTCAGGAAAAAGTTCAATTTTCACTAATGGACAATATCTATCTGATTTGTTTTTAAAAGTTACTAGTTTCGACCTCTTCCCAAAAAATTTCTTTACAAACTTTGGAGATGAGTGTGTCGCTGCAATTGTGAAGCATTTTCAGCCAGTCCTGAAGGAGGCAGATGTCTCCATTGATGAAGTTGCTGTCGAATGGGACCTACTGAAATCAAGAGTATATGCCAAGTATGTCAGAAGAGCCAGCAGTTCAAGACAAGCACATCAAGCAAACTATTCCCTGTAGAATGAAATTTTGCACCCTGTAATGTGAAGCTAAAAATATAAATCTATAAATTTTACACCTTTCCTTCTTTGAAAACATTTGTAACTTTCCTAAATTTGATCAGGTTTATGGTTTACGATTTACATCAATTTATAGCAATTCTAATAGGACTTCCCTTTCCCCATTTGCTATAGGTACAAGAGCATCAGCAATGCCAATTGGCCTGATATCATCAGGTCCTCCAAGCATGAGCTTCCGAACATCTGCTGCTTAGTGGACCTGATGATTACCATCCCTGCAAGTTCAGCAGATGCTGAGCGTGGCTTCAGCAGGTTAAAACTGCTGAAGACAACCCAGCGGACCAGGCTGAAGGACGACGCTGTGTCTGACCAACTCATGGTGATGCTCCACAGTGCGGGCATTGAGGACTTTGACCCAATGCCCGCAATAGATCTGTGGAACAGATCTAGCGTAAGAGCAAGGCATCTGGGGAAGCCTGAGGTGCAAGCAGATGAAGAATAGAGTGAGAATGGGAGCGATGATGACAGCAGTGAGGAGGAGAACGAGGAAACTATGCCAGACGACCCAGACCCGGACAGCACATCATCTGATTCAGATTTTAAATAGACCTCATCATTGTATAAGAATATCAAAGAATTTCAGACCAGCAGCCTATGTTTATGAGGCAAACATTGTCAACATTCTTTCATTTGATTTACCGTACAAATTACTTTAACATCAACCTTTCACCTGTCACCTTTTCATTTGAACTTAACATAAAATTTTGCTTGGAAACCTGTAAAAGAAAGGAGGGAAAACAGAAGTTCGCATTTATGTAAAATGTTATATCATTTTGAGCCTTCTCTGTCTCTTCTGACAGACTGTGAATAAAGCAACCCATTTTCAACTGTTAACCACCTACTTGTCTGTGTGGTTATTGCTTGATTGAAATCTATAATTAATCTCATCACTCATCATGTAAACAATACACACCATGTGCACGCTGTTATTTATGAAGTTGAAGTCAGCAACCTACAGACAAAAAATTACCTTAAAAATTAAGGGGGAAGGATGCGGACCAGTGAAAATGCTGGCGGACTAGTGAAAAGTCTACATTACTGGTCCGGATGGCCAGTGAAAAAAAAAGTTAAGGGAAAACCCTGAGCAGGCAGCTGTAAATGCCCGAACAGCCGCCTCGAGCCAG